TTAATCGGATTTCTGAAATAAATAATTCAAATACGCAAGAAATATGCCTGAAAATTAACTTGTCTTGCGAATACCAAATTAAAAATATCCCTGAAATATAAGCCAAAATAATAAACCGGAAGGGACGTGACAACGTAATGATGATTTTTGCACATGTAGAGAATTTTTGTTTACATATTTTGAATAAGTACACTGAAAACAGTATGAAATACATATAGATTTAACTGCTACAAAATGGCATTTTTACAGTGTTATTGAATTACGCTCTAGACGAAGAATTTCAATTCCGATTGTACATTTCAGAGATTAACTGCTCTTAAATTACGTTCACAAAAAATGTCTTTGATAAAAAAAATTGGCTTGGAATTGCTACGCCCCGTCATTGATTTTCCTCAATCTTAAGCATTGGTTCTAATTCCATTTAAAAACTGTGCTTTTCGATTCATTAATGACTACAATCCATCCATGACATTAATTTCCAGGCACTTGATGACTTCTTAGATGTGTCTGAAACATATTACTTTATTTCAAATACATAATCGACTGACTTAGCTCCGAGCCATCATTGCCCCTATCTCTGCAGTGCCGTCCAAGAGTTCCTACTGAGGCGGATTTTCGGCACTAGCTATTCAACTAGGACGAATTCAGCCACGTCTAGGAGGAGAATTCTAGCCAACTGACCTGATCGGTAATACCTCAATGTTTCTTCGATCAATATCAAGGGAATACTGGAACTGTACCCTAAAAAACAGGCCACGGACCGCGCGCGTTCTTTCCTTCCTCTTTCCTTTTTCTAATCTCTTCTCTTTCCTAACTCACACGCACTTGCTCCTACATGCCCTACACTACCACACATGCCAGATCAGTCGCGAGCTTAGAGCTTGTCCCGGCTGGGGCGGTGCTCCGCTGGGAGGAGATACCTGGAGGTGGAAATCCCTCGCCAGGCGTCGTTTAAGTTGGAACCGAATCTCGTCATCAAGCAGGAGAGATAACTGCTACCATCCGTGACAAAACATTCACTACACTAACGAAACTATTGACATTAGCAGTTGACGTGCCCAAAATCATTAATATGTTCATAAAATCTGTCTCGGAATGTGGTGTTTATTTTCACGTTCTCTATCGCACTCTTGCGTTGTGGGCAGCTGGCTTCACATCAGCTGCGACTTCCGTCGTCGTTATCAGTGGCCGAAAGCGGCGCTCGCAGCCGTGCACGAAGGTCGACGCTGCGTCATCACCTCCACAGGAAACGTCTGTGGTTGCACTACTTGAAAAGAGACCGACAATGCAGACAAGAAATGGGTTCATTGTTAAAACTACGTTTTGATTGACTGATTCAATAGTGTTTCTGGACGTCAACAGCTAGGAACATTGTTGTTATTATTAATAATAATAATAAAACTTATTAGATGGCCGAAATCGCTAAGGCAGTAGTGCCGTAGCAGCTATGGACCAGAAGACCGCGGGATCGAGTCCTGCCTCGGGCACGGGTGTATTTGCGTTTGTATGTGTGTGTGTGTGTCTGTGTTGTCCGCTCACCCCTTATAATCAATACAATTTCATCTTCCATACCCTCAAGGTTCACAAAACCAGGGTATAAAAATCGGATCCAGCTAAATGCAATGCGATCCCCTGCAAAGAATTACGTGCACACACCAACGCGATAATGTTTCTGGGCTCCGGTAAAGCAGGGGTGATTGCACACGTCCAAGTCGGCATACTCGCAAGCATAAAAAATTATCATAATTTTAACTTGTATTACAAATAAAGTTGAACAATGCACAGTGTTAGAAAATAACTTGTTAGTAAAATCCATTGTAATTGAACTTCGAAGAGGTTAAACGTGTTTGCGAACCTGAAATCTCATATGTCATATTTTCTTTCTTGATATAGGGAACAAAAAATAGGAAATACAAACGACTGATTTCGCTACGAACAGAAAAAAATTTCCTCCAGTGCAATTGAACAGAAATAACCTTCTGCAAATAGATTGAGTGAGATATTTAGGTATGCATCTTGACACAAGACTCATGCGGATAAAACATATTGTTTAAACGAAAAGAACCCCAATAAAAATACATTAACTGTATTGGTTGTTAGGTAGAAACTCAGTGTTAGCTTTAGACAATAAATTACTCATTTATATATCATTCTTAAAGCTTGTTTCGAATTACTGGATACAGCACCTCCCCCCCCCCCCAAGCAATCTGTTCTTCCGTACGGATGCTAAACGGGAACGTCTGACCGATTCCCGATTCAAGCACCGATTTGGGCGACACCCCTCTTCCTGTGTGGTCGCGATCGGCCGCTGACATCTCTGGTGCAGCCTACGAGAGCCCCGGCTTCATCTCACTGCATACGGGGCCACTTCCACGGTGTTTTGGCGGACCTCCTCCACACATCTCAATTTTTTTTTTTTTTTTTTTTTTTTTTTTTTGTGAAATTGTTTCACCCGTCATCAGTTAAACAATAAATTGGACTGGAAATTGCTGCAGAGAGAGGAGAATAAGTGTATTTAATGACCGTTTCACTTTAACGTATGTGTTCCCGCCGCTCATAGAGCTGCAGTTAATAAAATCCCAGCACTTCGTTAACTAGTAGACAAAATGCAATCCTTCGGCCTAGAGCGCTCACTCCTGATGTGCTCAATGCCGGCATCTAGATGGAAGGTAAGGTACACGCTTGGCGCTCTCTAAACAAATTTTGCGTATGTGGCCCGTTGCCCACAATATGCCGACGCACCTTACGTGAGTCGGGAAACCTTTTGCAGTAGTGACGTCTAAGTATCACATTAGTGAACGTGATTTTTTATCTTTATGATCCTTTCCTAGAAGAATCACTCGAATATCACTCGAATTCGTTGAATCAATAATACATGTATCGGGCAGGTATTACTCTCTTTTTCATCGAAAAGTTGCATAAACATATGAGATCTCGGTAGCATTGTTGAAAGAAATGCGCTTTCATTTCATCAATAATTAAAATTAAGAGCTAATGTAGACTAAGATAACTTCGATAATGCCGTGTGGTCCACCTAAGAAGTTCCCTTCAATTTTCTCCTGAACCGTTGCAGATACGGTTTTCGCTCAAACTGCTATATGCAAGGGGCACATATGGTCATGCATAATATTATTCTATTTCATTTTTTATTGCAGAGATATTGACCCAACTTCGATTTTTTGAACGGAACCCTATAGATTTATTCAGCGTATTATAATAAGTGTGAAGAGACGAGTTCATTAATATGCATATCGCCTTATGTTACCTAAAATTTTCTTGAAATTAAGAGTTTTAAAGACGCACGCCCACTGCTAGTTTCCGTAATCTGAACAAGAAATTCCGGGGGATATGCGGCGAGACCATTCCCTTCCGTTGCGTCGACCCTGCGGTAAATGTAATTCAATATAATGTGCAAAGGAGCTCACGAAAACCCGCGATTTGCTCTTTAAGGCTACGCCCTCTCAGTCCTGGAGACAATGAATTCACCCATAGCCATGTTCTGAGCAAATCTGTTCAACACAAGGTAATGTTTTTTATTAATTAAATACTACAAGATTTGAGAAAATATTTGAATTATTAACCGTAGAGAAAGCAAGGGAAGATTGTAGAGTGAACATGTTCTAAATTAATAAATACGTGTGCTGTCAGAAACAAAACGTTTACTCTTTGAAAGACTGAAAACTTAAGCCGGTACAAAATATCGTGTAAATAAAAGTAAGAAAAATACTTTAAAATACAGAAACAAAAGGTAAGTTAACAATTCCAGAAATAGCTTGATTTATAACACATACTCAAAATGTGCACCATCAATGGATGTACACATTTGAAGACGCTTGTAAAGAGACCTTCGAACATAATTCAGAGTTCCACGTGAAATGGCATGACAAGATGTGGTAATGCGGCGCCTCAGATCTTCAGATGTCGTTGGTACTTGAGAGTAAACTTCGTTCTTTATCGTTCCCCACAGAAAATAGTCCAGGGGCGTAAGATAAGGTGGCCTTGCCTGCCAGTTTGCTACAGCACCGCGCCCAATCCATCAGCCGGGGAACTTCTAATTCAGCACTTGCCTAGCCACAAGCGCGTTGTGTTGCATCCACATACAATTTCTCATATCCAGGGGAATTTCTTCTGAAGCAGCGGCAATGTTTCACGAAGAAATCTTGCGTATTTGTTTCCTGTCAAATTTGCATCCATGAAATAGGTGATAGGAACGTGAATAGGATATGATGGTGTCGTTAAGAATACCGCACCAGACATAAATACTCCACTGCTTTTGGTTCCCAACTTCACGAAGCCAGCGAGGATTGTTCACTGCCCAGTAGTGCATGTTGCGTAGATTCACCTGACCGTGATTCGTAAATGTTGCCTCATCGGTAAACATAACCTTCTCAAAAAACGTCCTGATCATCTCGCACGTGTTCCAGAGCAAAACGACAAAACTGAACACGTTTCTGGTAATCAGCATCATAAAGCTTCTGGTGCAACGAAATGTGGTAGGGGTGACACTTGATACTCTCCAAGATGCGGAGGGCAGGTGCGGGCGGTCGTGGGGGTGGGGGTGGCGATGTGGCAAGGAGCAGGCGGAACCGTGGGCGGAGGCAGAGATAAATGCGCGGGAGGAAGCGAGGTAGAAGGCGAAGGCACAGATGGAGTCTGAGCACGCCATTGGGCCGAGGCGAGGGTTACGTCGAGGGCTGTGCCGTTGCCGGGGGTGGATGAGGAAGTGTAGATAATGAGGGGTGGATGAAGCAGAGAGAAAAAATAGTATACCATATTGAAGCCACTTTGTTATACTGGACCATTGTTTTGAATGTTTCACAAAAGGGCAGTGTAAGAGCCTAGCGTGCATTAACGTACCAGGCTGTAACACGTAAATCAAGACAGACAAAAAAACTTCACCGAAAGAACTATATGAAATAAACGCAAAAAACACAATTTTCGAATAATAATTTCCGGCTTTAAAGGGATAACTTTTCACTAAAAAAGTGTCTGACTAAGTTTCACTTTGTACCGAAGCACTTTTCATAGATGGAATACTGGCAAGGTTTATTACCAAAGTGAGTGCGCATGTGGGTATCTAAGTTCTCTTTCAGTCTGAAATATTTTTCACAGATGGATCACTGAAAAGGTTTTTCTCCAGTGTGAGTGCTCACGTGCCTATGTAAATTCCCCTTTACACTGAAGCTCTTTTCACAGACGGAACACTGAAAAGGTTTATTACCAGTGTGGGTGCCCACGTGCCTATGTAAGTTCCCCAAGATACTGAAGCTCTTTTCACAGATAGAGCACTGAAACGGTTTATTACCAGTGTGGGTGCGCATGTGGATATCTAAGCTTCTTTTCACACTGAAGCTCTTTTCACAGTTGGGACACTGAAAAGGTTTATTACCAGTGTGAGAGCACATATGGACATCTAAACTGATTTTCACACTGAAGCTCTTTTCACAGACAGAACACTGATACGGTTTATTACCAGCGTGTGTGTGCATGTGGATATTTAAGTTTCCCTTTACACTGAAGTTTTTTTCGCAGATAGAACACTGAAAAGGTTTTTCTCCAGTATGCGTGCGCATGTGGATATTTAAGTTTCCCTTTACACTGAAGTTTTTTTCACAGATGCAACATTGAAAAGGTTTTTCTCCAGTGTGCGTGCGCATGTGCTCATGAAAACTTTGTTTTCGAGCGAATTCTTTCTCACAGACTGAACATTGAAAAGTTCGTGGATCAGTGAGGTTGCGCACGTGACGACGAAATTCTGGAACTGAAAATAGAGAACACTTGCATTAGAACGTTGGTGCCTTAAGGCAAGAAAGACACTATTTACAAAGTCAAAGTTGGTATTGACACCGTATTATAAATAGCTTACTAATCAAAAACTCGGAATTGACATTTGCAATGATGAAAATAACAACTTTTGTTAAAACATCCACTTTTATCGAAATACATGGAAGACTATAGGCATTATCTTCTGGTGTCCTTGTGATCTGCTGACATATTCAAGGTTAATATGACGCACATCTGTTTCTGTGTACAAAAATATATAGTGAAAAAGATAAAAACGTTCATCCTATTTGTTGTCTTCCGGTTATAAATTATATATAAAAAATGCCATTGTGTTTGACTTCAGAATCTGTTCTCATATCATGACATTCCTTTCGTATTTAACATAAAATGATCAGATTTTTAAAAAATCAGTTTAAAGAATACATTCGTTGCACACTCAAAGCAAACATTCCACTTCAAAACCCAGGCATATTGGGGACAAACCCATAGCGAAAAAGGGTTTTCCTATCCAAGGAAGCACTTCAAACTACTGGAGCCCTCACTGATTAATGCGAAGATTAATTCTAACACGTATGTCCTAAACTGCTTCAAAAATCTCGCACACTAAATTTGTAACATTGGCTTTGCCTTGGTTATTCGCAGAACACTGAGTCCTGGAAGGGAAGTTTAAAAAAAGAAAAAAAATTGCAGGAGAGTCCCGCTCACCTGAATTCATCGGGGCTGGACCATTTCGTATACTTGGATTGCTCGGATTAATATTAGTTTACAGGTGTAGTTATTTTACAAAAACTATTTACAGAGTAAAAAATATAATACATATAATTATTTTCCTTTGTTCTTACTTAAAAATTCGTGACACTAAATTGGCAGGTCTATACAAAAATAGAAAGTTAACGTCATGCTTTTAAAACGAAGTTTCCTACCAAATATTTTATGATTGAACAAGACTACACAGCATTATGTATTATGTAATGTGGCAATATCTGGGCTTAAAGAATTCAACATCTATCGACACTAAAGAACGAAGTATAACGACAAGTATGACTTTTTCCGAGCAAGTGCGCTTAAATAAAATTGAATCGCTTAAATGCGGTGTGTCCTTGCAAGCAAAATACGTAGGTCAAGAGACAAATTGGTCTGGAAAAAAGGCAGTTAATACTATAGAATGACTTAAGTATATGGTGAGAGTTGTAAGAACCGCGAGGATTTTTAAAAGTGATTAGAACAGTTCAAAAGTGGTCGAAACACCGTTACGGCCACATCAGCAGAAAAAGTCATGTTGACTCTGTGGGGTCGTTGTAGGTGCTTTTTTTCTGTGATTATCTCGAAGAACGACGTATAATAAACACCCAATACTACGCCGATAGGCTGTTGAACAAATTGAAGTCGGCCATGAGAGAGAAACGACGTGGATCACGGAGGAGATGTGTCATTTTCCAGCAAAACAACGCACGTCCTCACACTGCCCTACACAGCTGTGCAACCAGCAACAAAATGGGTTGGGAGCCACAAGATGACAATGATCTCTAAGTACGATCTCAAATTGTCCCAACTGAAATGAGTCAATATTCTTTTTATTGGATTAATGGAGTTCTAAATTCTGTTGTATTTTTTTTATTTTATTTTTTTACTTTTTTATTTTCAGTATGAGTGAAAAATCAGTCAAATCAGTAAAATTGGGAGAACAGAGTTTACAAAGACAGTTGGGAATTGACTATGGAAAACTATAGTGCTTGGTATGCAAGCAAGTTGTTTTAGTGCCCAAGGAATGTAACGTAAAAAATTATTCGACAATACAAACGGTACAAAGAATTATTCACATGGGAGAACACATAGAACAATCTATTTTAAGTCTTGTAAAAGTGAGTCCTTATTTTTCTCTGTGCCTTGATGAAAGCAATCACCAGTCAGATGTAGCTCAGCTATTAATATTTGTATGCACAGGTCTAAGGATTTTGTTATTACAAAATAGCTATTTGATGTGTGCTCCCTACATGGCACCAGTAAATGACAAGATACTTCTCATGCTTTAAAGAAGTCTGCAAACAGAATCGGTACATTGGGGAAATATAATGTTTGGCGATTTTAACAGAAGGAGCCTAAGCAATGACAGGGAAGAACATTGGATTGAAAGGGTTGTATAAGAAAACCAGAGTAAATTGCCCAACGATTCAATGTATGATTCACCAGGGAGCTTTTGATAGAGATTTAGTAAAGCAAGATAGTTTTCAAATTAGTTGTTGAAATTATAAATTTAATAAGAGGAGGGCAAAATGCTCTTAACTAGGCAACCAAACCAATTCTTAAAAGAAATACATTTTGAATACAGGGACTTTCTTTTGTTCAACAATGTGAGATGGTTCAATGCCGGAAAGTGTCTCGAGAGGTTTTGTTCTATCAGAGAGAATATTTCCACATTTTTTGATGCACATGTTAAGTCTAATACTACAAACTTCAAAGAATAATTTAAAAAGCCGGAATTTTTGAAACGGTTAGCTATTCAGGGTGGAGATGAATCCAACAAATCAGAGATAATTAAAATTGGTCCAGTCATTCTTCAGTTATAAATGCTCCAACTAACCTGATTTTCGTTTTATATGAACAGATATATGAATTTTCTCGTTGTATGTACATTTATCATTAAGTATGTTGAATAAAAGTTGTACGTAATATATGTTTCAGTTCAATCTCAGCAGTTAGGACAAAAATCATTTTAAATTACAGTGCGGCCAGTGGCTTAACTAGAATTTGATACGTGGCCCATAAGTGCTTGTAAGTCGGACAGCCCTGCATTAGGTAGATGTGACTACACATACATGCTGATAATTCATTCGCAATAAACATATTCTGATTATATGAATGTGCCATTTCATTTCTAATAAACACATGCACAGCTCCTGGCATACAGTATAATAATACAATTTGTTGCCAAGAAAGCTTTCCAATATCGTATAACTTTTTTTTTAAATTGTGGAATCATGGTTTTACAAATGACAGATTCAATGACATGAAATATCATTTATGACCTCCATGACTTCATGATGAGTCAGTTAATACTGTCATTTCCGCATTAGCAAACTAGATTAAACTTGGTTTAAGAAATTAATTAAAATCTTATTTCCGCTCACCTGGGGAACTCGAAGCAATTTCAGTTTCTATTGTTCCAACAGAAGCACGTTCACAAGATATTGCAAGAGGATCCTACAACAAGACATAAGAAAATAACATCACAATGCACTGAGATATACAAAGGCAAAGGTAGGAAGGGTATCTAAAAATTCGTAATCCATGATAATGCTGATTCACTGATAATCTGGAAAACCCTTTCACCTGGTTAAAAAACAGCACACTCATAGTATGTGAGAAGTAGATATCTACCACAAATTTTAATTTTAGTTATGAGGTAAAGAGAAACTAATGTAATGCAGAAAATACATGTCGACGTATTAACGAAAATACGTTTTGGGGACTCAATACCGTATATGTTGCTATTCAAAACGTCTCTCTCCTGTAAAGCACACAAGCATGTGAACTGCATAAATTATTTTCCCAAAAAGTTTATTTGCCAATGAATTTGACCTGACTCGAATTCCTAGTTTGAAATAAAACTTCTGCTATTTTGGGTCTTTTGTCCATAGCCCAGTAATAATTCAAAACTTTCTCAAAATCGCACCACTTTTTCATAATTTTTGTTTTCTAGAATAAAGGAATGTATGTGTATAAGTAGTTGTGCAACGGAATGACATACTTTCTCGTTCTGGTTAGTTTCTTATTCTTTTCAGTATAGGCTAGGCTTTTGGTTTAGACTTCTCTTCCTAGCTGCCAACTATTGACACCCAAAATACATTTTTTTTGCACTTCCTCAATTTTTCCTTCTCTAATGGTAGACTTGGAATAGGATTTACTAATATTATAGAAGAGTCAAACCTGATCGTATACTTATGCGAATTTTCATTGAAATATTTAAAGTCATTCTTGACACAGACTTGTTTGAGCTTTTTTAAAGAAACACAATTTTCAGCTCATTGTCACAAATATCATTTGAATTTTCAATAAACTTCAGAAGAAAGCATTTCAAACCCTGGTATTCATAAATACTATTATTCGTAAGAAATGCTTGTAAAACAGCACCGTTTTAACAACATTGGGGGCCCTTGAACCTGGGTTAATTTGAGAGCCCCTATTCTTAGTTTCACCAATCTCCCCCACCCCACCCATTTCCATGCTGAAATCTAAAAAAATCTTATCAATTCACCTTTTTTTTTGAAACATTTTGAAATGATTTCTTAGTGTTTCAATTTAAAATAATTCAAACAAAAAATTTAAATATTTATGTATAAGTAAGACTAACACATTTATAATTACATTGAAAAAGACTAAAAATTAAAGTTTTAATTTCTTATTGAATTGTACAATATAAAACTGAAACGCATCAACCAGCAACATTCCATATTATAAATATTATCCAATGATGCACAACACATCACTCCCTTATGTGAATTTTTTGCGCATAGTTAAATCACACAACCCTTTTTATAATTTTTTTTATTTTATTTTTTGAGGTAATTATTAAATAATTTGTTAAGAACTATCAGGAGCCCTTCAACATTGAGAGCCCTGGGCACAGAACATAAATACTACAGATGGGAGAGATTTCAAAAAAACTGTTCTCTGTATCCAGAGAAGATTTTTTTTGAAATCTCTGCCATCTGTGATGGTGTTTCTTGAACCTCAATCACTGCGTTGCGCATCCCTGGGTCTGTCTTATCTGGTTTACTCCATAACTTCTCATAATGCTCTACCCATTTCTCTTCAGGAATGAGATCAGTGCAAGCACTGCCTCTAGTTTCCACACGCTCTGAGCCTCTTTGCAATTTTAAAACCTATTCTTTGAAGGTCTGTGATGCCCCTCTTGATTTCACAAATATCTGCCTGTCATCTCTTAATTTGCCTTGTCAATCTTATTTTTTCTTCTCTACTTGTCTTATATTATTTGTAATCTTTTGTAGTGTGCGACTGCAAATATTTCTGGTATGCGTCCTTTTCCTCATGATCACATCCTGAATTATTCCAGGTCCTTAACCATTTTTGTTTCTTGGGTAATTGGTATCCTAAGGTTTTCTCAGCTGTTTTATTGATAACTTGTTTTACAGTTCACCACAAACTTTCCACATATTGTTAGTCCATTCTTTGTAGCTTCTCCCTAAGAGAGATTCCTCCAAGTTGGTCTCTTCTTCAAATGGGTAGGTATTCAGCTTTGATGTTGCTTTCAGTTTTCTCTTTTTCTTTTTAATTTATTGTGTATTGAAGACAAGTCAATATTGACCTGCCCTTGTAAGGCCCATATTTTCTTATCATTTTAAATAATAGCATAGCATTGTTTTTTCCTAAACTATGATTAGAATATCTGTGAACCATATTCAGATTTGGTATCAATTATCTGGGAGGATACTGATCACTGTAATACATCGGTTCATTGATTTAATTGCAACACTAATACCTATCTTTATTAAATCCACTCTACGTTTGATGATGTCTACTGCACTGTCCTTAATTCAGTGTTTTTGTGGATTGTTGCTAAGGCCTTGCTTTTGTGACTTCACTAACTTTCTCTACTTGTTCTTCCATTTTTATTTCTTAAACTACAAACTGTAATGTTTTCTGATTAGTACTACACTTCTTTTTTTTCTTTTTTTTCAAAGATCACAATCATCCTGATTACTGATTAAACCTTTTCCACACTTTCAGAACGTTAAAAAATGACAATTGCTGCCCAAAATATACAAAGAGTATGCCAAAATACTATAAAGTAATGAAAGTCAACCAACTTGTCTATCTTCAATACAGCTAATCTTAGTAAAAAGCCTAATCACACATACAAATCACACCATAGAAGAAATGTGCATAAGATGGATGAGATTCTTACTTTGTTGAGGTAATATTTCATTAAATGTATTCATGCAGTTGAATTTCCTTTGAATACCACAGCAGATGCATACATAATGCATACAAATGAACAGATACCGCATCAATGTATTCAATTTGAACACATAAGGCAATCTAAAGAAAAAGGGACTATCTTACCAAAAAAAAAGGCCAACTTTACCTCAAAGGAAACAAAAACAATTTCAATCAACTGAAATCACATCAAATAAATAAATTCACCAAACATAATGCATTCAATAACTTTAATTTTGCATGAACATGATTATTTGGAATAATACATAAATTAATTAATTAAGTTGTATACACATGATCTCATTAAAGAAAGGCACAACAGGAATTCCCGCAAGTTGCTCATGGGCAGGTAGATTTGCTGAGTACTTTAGTGTTGCCATCCCCTTGGAGAAATGTTTGTATTGGGGAGTGAAAATGATCAATAATTGATAAATACTCTAATTTGAGGCATCATCCAGAATTGTCTTATTTACTAAATTAGCACATAAACCGATGGATGTGTAAACACTGTGGTGAAAGTCATTTCAAAGCAGGGAATTAATTTTTCAAGGAAGTGTACTTATGCATCATAACCAATACAATAAAATGAAAGATGAATTGTTTTATCCTCTCTAAAAAGATGCATGATGTTGTCATGGCAAGCGATTCAAGAGCCATCTACAAACTAAGGATAAACTATGGCAGGACAATGTTCCTGCTTGACCAAATGTGACGTTAACTCTCACTTAAAAGTGAAGTCTCGTACTCCATATCATGACAAAAACAACAAAGCCCTTTTTGTTTTTACAACAAAGCCCATTTTGTTTTTACAACAAATTTGATGTGTCCCAATAAAAGATTAAATATGTATTAAATATGAAGATGGAGTCCAATATTCTCCAAAACGTAGTATTTAAAATAAACTGAATAATATTTACAAATTACTAAGGAAAACAGTGTTCAACAATTGAATTGCTTTTGCATAAGTGATCTTCAAAATATGCACATCCTATGACGATTAACCATGTTACTCATTTTTATCTATAACAAACGAGAGTCTCCAAAACCTCAAGTTAATATTCAATGACACTCTTCAATAAAAATCTTCATCCAGTAAAGCATAAATTCCAAACCCAATTCCAATTTACCCAAATACTTCCAGCAAACACACACAGTGCTTTACTCATGGGCAATCTCTGTACTTTGGCCAGAACTCTGATACCTACATTAGCCACATGAAATCTAAAATAATTCGTTTCTGATTATTCTACATCTTTTTTGACAACATTCAACTAATTTGCAAATTAACCACGTTCTCCGAAACACGAGCCTTATTTCAGTCTTTAATACAAATATATACTCGCATCATGTTGCCACACATCTGATATTTCTCATTATGACAAAGAATTATTAAAAGCATAACTAAAAAGAACTTTCTATTTAAAATAAAGACATTTACAGTGGTGTTTAACATGTCACCACCCAATGCTTCCTTGTATTCAAAAATCATCCTGTGAAAGTAGGCCTACACGAAATCCATACCTTTGTCTCTTCAATGGCTCCTTCTTGCTTCTCCACTGGCTGAACAAACACAGCAAATGGTGGATCCAACTCCTCCTGCACCGAAAAACAAAAACACATGAGCTATAACAGCAAATACATTCTTGTACAATTGAGTTACCATAGATAGATATTACCTTGTCATATTCATTACGCATCTCACACTATGGGGATGAGGATAACCCCCCACCCCCAAATTATTGATGATCAAGTTTGAATTTTAATAACTCACCTCTCATTCAATCAAGAATGTATTGTCTCCCACAGTTATATAATGAATTCTTCTCCTTTGAAATACAAAAGGATTTGCATGTCAAAACGTGTTAAAAATTACTGTAAAACGGAGTGACATGAGACAGACAAGACATTTTCTTTAGCAGAATTTTTTGAATCTATTTTTCACGCATGAATTTTTGTGGGTAGTGCAATTTCTACCTAAGCTATTAAATAAGTTATAAATCTACTGAAAATAATTATTCTGAATGGTTTTATCATTACATTACAGTCATCTCAGAAAAGATGTGGCCCATCGCACCCCTGGACAGTTATTCCTGAATTTCTATTCATTTCTCCCCTACCTCTCACGATAACCTTTAACAATTAATCTGATTTATCATGTAATGAGTAACCCCTATGTATATGCAGCTGTAATACCTTGCACAGGAACTTTTCTTCGTTACAAGATAATACTGTTTTTTGTCCTAGCCAGTTTGTATATTTCTCCTGTAGTCATCGATGCCAGGAATCTTTGGTTACTGCAAACTTTTCAGCCGCCGTTCAAAGAGAAAATGAAGGATGGTTTCGTTTATATTTTACTGCATTTTATAAGGTTTTAACATCGTAATTTTGATAAGGTCTGGACCCTGGCTTTCTCTTGTACACTCTGCCCATGTTTCAAGTCACCTCAAGACAACAACATAGACTAAAATTTAACTGGTAAGTACAGCCAGTGTGCAGAATTAACATTGGAAATACCATGAATTGTCAGTGAATTCATGGTTTTACACTGTATTTCAAAATATAGTTTTTATACAATAACTTATTACTTCAATAAGAAGTATGGATATGGATATCCTTATAATGAATACTTATAATTGGAAAACATGTCGTGCAGAGACCAAGAATTTTTTTTCTACCTCTCCTTGCAACTGTTATTACTGCAAAGTACATTTAAATCTTCCCTCAAACTGTTAACAACAATGAAAAACCCTTGTGTGCTGTCCAGCGTCATGCGCAAGTTTGCCAACTTTACATAGCATAAGACAAGTTTGTCGCAAGTCACCACGTTTTACGGTATTTTATTTTATTTACGATACATGAATAACTATTCTCACATCACGTTTATCATCTTCTTCTTTCACTGAATGCTGTAAAGTACTGGGTTCATCTTTTGCCTGAAAGAAAAAGCATTCCATATAAAAATTATGGTTGCCCATAGAGTGGCTTCTAAAAAATCTAAAATAGAATTGTGGTGAAAATGTACCCAAGATTTCCTTCCAATACTAAACAAAAAATAGAAATAATCGGCTCTACTATTTTAACTGATATTTAGTCAGTGAACTCGAGAACCCATTTATTTTTCAGTTTCATTACAAAATGCAGTAGAAAAGATTTTACTTTTAACTTAAATTTGTGAACAGACTTCAATTGTTTAATGTCATTTGGCCATGCGTGTTATAGTAATATACATGTATTGTAAGTGGATTTCTGGTAGTTTGTTGTCTGGTCTGGTGATACTGACACTTGAGTGTGATTTCTACGACGTGTTGTCATCATAAATATCAGTATTGCATGAAAATATGTTCACACCATTAAGTCAGTCAGTTTTCACAATTATTACAGATTCGTAAATAAATAGGCAAGACAAAAGGAAGATTCCAAGCTCAATGAAGAAAGGCTTACAGGGATCACATGAATGGCATTTTTTCATTATTTATAAAATGTTCTTTTGCAATCGGAAGGTTTGGATACTATATGATGAGCTTCCCCAGAATAGTACGCCATATCTCAGGCAGGAATGCACATTAGCAAAATACACCCAACGAGCTGCATGAAGACTGGCAGAATTTGAAATAATTCTGATTGCGTAACATCATGAAATTAATTTAGTGTTTACTTCTGTCATATGGACATTTCATTTAAGGTTAGACTGAACTGAGAAACCTAGAAATATTTTTTTGTTACTTTGTTAAATTAATTTTTTTGTTACATCACCTAATTGCATATTGTTAATTTTCAATGGAGCATGTGATTGCAGATTTGAAATGCATTAAAACTGTTTTCCTTCCTTAACCATTTGTTTTTACAAAACCAATTTGAAATTTCTGAAATCATACTATTTATTGTTTCTTTTTTGCAAACAACATTCATGTCATTGGCAAACAGAACGGTTCTTCTATTTTTAATAGACAAGGGCATATCGTTTACATATAACAGAAAGAGGATTGGACCTAAGACCAAACCTTGTGGGATCCCATATTCAGGAGAGTAGATCAAAGAACTGTGTAGAGGAAGAAAGACCATCTTAGATAATAATTAGGAAAAATCAAGAAAACAAACTCCCATTTAAAAAAAAAAAAATGTGGAGGTCCATAAATACATACAAAATCAATGCTCATAATCTATATGATTTAATAATTGCAATTGAAGTACAGACATAAATACAAAGAGGTATACTCAAATGTTTTACCTCATGTGCAAACAAAATATAAAGACTTACACCCACATTCATTCTTTTGCTGCTAGTTCTGCTACACAAAACATAATGAATTTGATATTGAATGAAGTGCCTGACTGTTTTTGGTGAATATCTCAAAAGGCACTGATGTCCATTATTTTGGAAAAATAACACTCATTTAGTACTAACTCACAATGGAATTCCAGCAATAGTCTTCTTTTTCGTCCACTGGCTCTTCTTTGATCTGGAGAAAACAGAAAAAAACAGTCACTCACAAGTTCATCATCTATTTAAAAAAAAACAACAAGCAAATACTTCAAGATTTCTCAGAAGGCACCAATAAACTGCATATGCTCAGACTGACAAGACCTATCAAACTGACTTTTCCATACTTTCTTTTCATACTTATAAAATATATGAATAATATGCCAAATACACAAGACTTTTCAATTTTAAAACTTATTGTTTTGAAATACATTGGCATGTATGTTTTTTTCAATTCGTAGCAACATTTTATCAAATACCCATCTACTGGTATCTAACGATTGGAAGTAATCCTCCTTTATCACTCCGAGTACCATAGTATCGCTGGAATGTATAATACCATGGGGAACCTTTCGAGTCACCATTTCCGATTGCATGTTTTGTCAATTTGTTTCTGAGTGGAACTTAAAAATCCTTTTAGTTGGCATCTGTTGATCGATAGGATAAAGATCAAATTCTGTACACACTTGTTAGAAACACAATGTAATCAAACAAAACCAATCATTTTATTTTGTAAAAAGTTACAGAAAATAACATGGGGGCTACACAATGACCCAAACACGGTTCTTCAAGGTTTTTGAACCAAAGAAATCATTACAAGATACAAAAGAATGTTATGAATCTAATTGGAGAATGGCAATAAATGCTCAAAAACCTTCTGTTAACTGGAAACACTTAAGGATTCATTTTTTCAAATTACATATATTTGTTATTACATTATTTTCTTTCCAATATTGGTAAGAAAAAATACTGCCTTTCGTATTTAAATAGAAAGGTATAAATTTAATTATAGCCATTTTGGCGGTAACCTCTATGTAAAATACTTTTCCTCTATTTTCCCTTAAGTCATAAACTGGGATATTTTTTAATTTGGTTAAAATTACTATACGACTTCCTTAGGTTGTACGACTAACTTTAAAGGACTTCCTTAGATTGTACCGTATACTACATTTTAGCCTTTAATTTTTCTGATATTTCTGAATCTAATCAAATTTCGGTTACATCAAAGATTACCATAAAAAATCTTAACTAAAATTAATTTCTTTATTGGATTCTCACTCAGAAAAAAAAACATTATTTTTGTATTAATATTCAAATTCAGAAATTTGGGTAATAAAAAAATTGTCAACACTTGGAAATGCAATGGAGAGCTTTCTCAATATGACAGCTATTTCAATGACCAGTACATACGATATTATAAGGTGTTCTTTTCAAAAATTGTCCTGACAATGAATAACTGCAGTGGACATGTGATTAATTCCATCAAATTGCTCATCAAACATATATTTTTTGCCACTCTCCTAACCTTCAACACACAACATTGCTTTCCATCCAGTCATGTAAAAACAAATGAAATGTACAAATACTGTTTACCTCTTCGATTTTGATAATATTTTCAGCTAAAAGATCTACGTCTTCCATCGCGATCTAAACTTTTTCACTCTCGAATAATGTTTTGCTTCTGGTTTCACAGCCAGATATTCTCTTTGGTTTCAGCCATAGAGTACTCAAGTTTGTTGTTGGGGCCGGGCGTCTCAAACAACTGCCAAAACATGAAACGCCTGCGACAGTGGCATAGTGAACCGCAGGAGAAAGCAACTAGGCGGCGAGGCGGGCGATTTCACTTATCATTTCAATTAACACCTCCTTTCAGTATTATTTGAATAGTACCGGATATCCCACAAAAAACGTCCCCGTTTAAGCGTGCTTTTGTTCTTTGGTTTTGAGTTGGCAACAAATTCTAACGGTTGGACTATAGGAATCGTTTGGTCTCCTGTGATACGTAGCAGTTTGCTTACAGACGCGGCGTGGGCTTTGTAATTCGGCTAATATTTAATCATGCCGTATTCCATGCAAGAATGAGTGTTTATTGTTGAGGCGTATATTCGAACTGTTTTGTTCAAGGAAACTCTGAAAGTTTTCATAGTGAATTTCCGGAAATTAGTGTATTGGTTAAGGGCCAATGCACTAATTCCAGATATACTGATTTTGATGCAAATGTGCATATCACCTGCGTAAGAGATCTTTCAAAAATTTACATTTGTGTAATTTTTGAAGAAAAAAATACACCGTACTGAACTTTACGTCATATTAAAAAGTGCAATTAGCACTATTTTTCGAAAAGTTTGAAGAATGAAATTAGAAGCTTTTTTGAGAAAATGGCGTTTGAGCGTTTCTGAGAATGCGGAATTTTGAGCTCATTTTAACAGAAAATTGTTGAGTTATCGAGAAGCTTATATAACATTATTTCAATCATAAGTACTCATAAATATAATGTGAACAAAATGACATGATTGTAAATATTAACGACGTGAGAGACAAGACGGGAATCGAAAGGTTCGACTCAGGCCAAATGGACAGAGGCTTCAATTTGAAGAAATATGGTTTAGATGCTATTGTTCACAAATACCAGACACATAGACAGGCGAACGGACAGATAGACAGAGGGACGTACGTTTTGAGGGGGAAAAATACGGTATCAGGGAACCCCAAAACGTGTATTTCCGTTGAAAACGAGAAATGGATTATTCACAGCGTTACAGAACTTTCCCTATACTACGTATATACTACGTACGTATACGGGAAAGTAAAAGGTTGTAGAACTACAACAGCACAAATACTTTCACAATACTGGTAATACGTTTATTAAATATTCTGCCTTACATGAAAATTTCTGTTCTTTCAAATACCACACAAAAAATAATTAAAAACACAACAATGCGCGAAAAATAACTTACATTTTTCATTTAAAAGTTAAGATAAAATTGCCTTCTTCCACTGAATTGAGTATTATAATGTTTTCAGTGTATTTACGAACATAAGCATATCAATTGTATACGATGTGTAATTTAGCCGTAGATAAATCTTATAGTATATTTGAAATTACTATTTTCCAGTGGCGGTTTCTTGGGGTAGGCACTGCCTACCCCGATGACTATGTACTAGTACTACATTTCGTAATAATAAAACATACTAAATGACTCTTACAATTTTAAGACGGGGGAGTCTTACAATATTAATACTAATAGTTTTTAATATTTTAATTATTAATCTGGAAATGTATGATGAACATTCCATTATCGTGGCGTCAGCGTTTTCTAACAGCTCATGGGCCATGCGATGTCTCGTATCTTCCCGCTGAGACATAAATGTGGACAACTGGGAAAATACGTTGCTTGCTTCTGGACACTTCTAAAAATCTCCTTTACTGGCACAGATACGTAGACGACGTGTTGGCACAATGGGCAGGCACCACCAGACAACTTGATTTTTTACACAATACATCAACTCCCTACACCCCAATATAAAATTCAGCATTGAAAATTCACCATTCACCACCATTGAAAATTCTCCATTGAAGTAGAAAACGAACACAAATCTTTAAACGTCCTTCATCTCACCATCACGCTAGCACAGGACTATCATGAATTCAACATATTCAGAAAACCCACCCACACGGACACAATCATACACAACACCCCCACACATAAACGTGCAGCCTTCTACGCTATAGTGCATCGGTTAATTTCACTACCCATGTCTCCATAAAACACAAAAAATGAAATAAACACCATAAAACATAGCCAAAATGAATGAATGAATGAATACGACTATTATCATTGAAAAATTAATAACTAAAAAACCAACACATTAAATATCCGCAAACACACCACCCTCACACCAACTGACAAGAGCACTACAGCCACGTACCTCACAATCCCTTACGTAGGACCCATTTCTCTTAAAATAGCCACCACACTCAATAAATTCGTTCTCAAAACGACTTTCAACAACACCCATACATTACTGAAAACACTATCCAAACCCTAAAGACCCAATCCCACCTACCTCCTTATGCGGGGTCTATGCTCTCACTTGCAACAACTGCAATGCCATATACATAGGACAAACAGGCCTATACGTTCACACAGAGAATCAAAGAATACGAGCACGCATGGAAAAACAATCCTATCACAGTCTCACACTTCGCGGATCACTTGATTTTATACAAACACACATTCGACAAACATCAATTTCCGTATTCTAGAAATTGAAAACAGGTACCGGAACAGAATAAAATCCCTACATATACGCAACAACCTCAAAAAACAGAACATTACTTGTCTTAACCAACAAATATCTGCACTCTCGTCACCTCTACTAAAATTAGCACAAAGTGTACACCCATAACTCCACTCGCCTTCGCTCGTCCGACCCCTCCTCACGCCTCTACCAGCACCCCCGCGACCCTTTGGCCGCCCCCGCCCCTCTTCCCGCCCCCACCCGCTGCCGACCGACGCTCTGTTCTTAATCAAGACACGCTCTCTAAAAACCGCAGAACTTTGTTTTCGGCCCGGAAGCTGCATGGTATGTATGTACGACCCAGTTTCCTGACGCATCTGGCAAACAATATCAACATTTTGTACATAACATTTTTTACTAACTTATACTTCATTTTTAGAATTCACGAATTAATGTAATTTTATTTCTGTAATTTTAATTTTAGCTCTGAGGACGATCGCTAAGCGATCGAAACGATCTTTAGCAAAACACATTTTTTATATCAGACATCTTTAATTTACCGAGTATAATAAAATACCTAAATAAGGGAGTGGCAAAATGTTTCTCCGGCCCTGGCGACTAACCCCCAAGGTACGCCACTGATTTAATGTCATTCTTCTCTCTTCTAAAAAACTCTAATCTTGCTAACAAACACTTTATTTCTCATTTACCTTTGCTCTTAACCAGTACATCGCCTATATATATTATTGACCATGACGTATCCTTTCTAAAAACCACTCCTTCTTCTAGTCCACTTTTCACCAATTGCGCTAAATTAAATGTATTAAACTTAGTTGGACTCAGGTCAATTTAACTCTCACCCTTTTGCGTCCCACAAAACCTTACGTCCATTGTTTCCTTCCTTTAGCCTACATATTTTTTCTAAGCATGTTTCTTCCGTAGACTCTTGCAGAACTTTATTAATTCCCTTTTGCTCATTATCCCCCATAATTAACCTCTATCTACCTCTCCAAAGCAGTATTAAAATATACAAATCCCAGTAAAACATTCCCTTCATTCTTTTTAATCACTCTATCGTGATAAAGTTTCAAGGCACATGCATGTTTTCTATTATTCGTTATCTCTTACTCACCTTCCTTTCCTAGAATTTGTTTGATTTTCTTTAAACAATGCCAATCTTCCTATTTCCGTTTCCAAACTCTATTACCTCTATGACTCTATTACCTATTTGAAAAACTCAGCATAAACATTATTTCCCGCCACCCCCTTCCTAACACATTAGGGCTCTACTACATGACAGTCTGGGCAGTCTTCTTTGCCGTTCTTCTATATTGGGATTGTTGCCTTTCTTCCGGGAATCCCTCCCTTCTTCATACCTTATTCATTATTTTCTTCAGAATCTCAATTCCTACTCCACCCCCATTCATCCACATTTAATTTCGTAATTCATCTATTCCTCATGCTTTGATGTTTCTTAACAGTCTTCCCTCCATGTTCTCCTCTCTGCCTCCTCCTACGTTCTCCTTTCATCATCTCGTCCTTCCCTTCAATTATTCCTCCCCCATTATTCCTCGCCCATCCACTTCTATCCGTATCTCTTTTCTCTCACTCCTTCACCTTTTAGCATCTTCCAAACCTGCTCTTTCATTTTTCCCCGTGAACCTCCCTCTTCGATATCCCATCGTGTATTACCATTATAATTTCATTATAACTGTAGTCATATTTTATTAATTTACTAGAGAATGTGTCATATGTAACTAAATCCTTCAGTGGCAAAGAGGTCTAAGAAATGTAGTTGGCCCCCTCTTGTTTTAGACTGAGCACGCCTGTGGATACAATAGCTCTTCCATTTCGGATATCAGTTTCCCGAACATATTTCTGAACTCGCTCGCCACAGTCGATGGCGCAAACAGGATCTTGTGGTTGCGGGCGGAACTAGTGACTCGGATTGACGCATCTACTTAAATCCAGAAATTAAATATCATAGAACCAATAAGAATAAAAATGAAACTCAGCTACAGTGTAACCGGAACATAAATTAAAACATTTGTTCAAATCCTTACTTAATGTTCATACAATTCCCTTCCCTCATATGAACTTCCTTATAATTTACAATTGCCAATGATATTGATATACGAGTACAAATTTCCCCCAAATCCTACTATCCAATTAAGAGACAAGTAATTAATGTAACATACATTTATTGTTCCGATAGTTTTATCGAAAAATAGTTTTTATTAACAACTATTTCTCAATGAAACTTTCAATGTTACTTTCTCGTATTCGTAGTAGTATGGAAGAAGATTGTGCAATGTTTCATCTGTTTCGGATCTTGGTAAGATAAACAAATTTATCTGATGGAAAGTCACAATGCATATTTGTAATTTGGTATAAAAAGTTTTATAAATTCTGCTCTGTGGTCTGTTAGTAGCATGTGTAAAGGAAATTTTGAAAGAAAGCGGAAACTCGCTGCCAAGAAAAAAGATATTGCAATAGTAAACAA